TACGGGAGGAACTGTGGGCAGGACTTTGAGAACTTTAAATAGCTGCAAATGCATTGAGAAGCTGGTAGAGTTACTCATTGTCTTTGTTCTGCCATCTTTTTCAATCGTACACCACAGTTATGTCTGCCCTTCTGCTTTATACTTCGTATGATATGGCAGAAGAGGGAGAAAATGAGAAAAAGTGAATGTCCAGAATAATAATGATTCCTCACATTTATATAATGCTGTTCATCCCAAAGTATTCAAAAATGCTTTGCAGACAATATTTAGACCATTTCACCCATCAGTGAATTTCAGTTGCCCCCTGAATGTTTTTCTGCTGGCCTAAATTAGCAGAGCAACATTGAAATCAATTGGTGCTCTGCACATTTTTAGCAGCAGAGAAATTGACCAAGTATGTGTATATACAGACAGATATATAGGTATGAAGCAACCGTGGAATCACACTCCACCCAACACACAAAATTCTTGCTCCTTCTGGCTAGTTATATCAGCAAATATATAATCAAATCCTTGTGTGCCAATTGCTGCCCCAGCTTGGGCCCCACAGCAAGGTGGGTTGGGATAGGGATAGGGATACAGGATGGAAGAGCCAAAGCACAGTTCAGAAATAGTTTTGGTTTTCTCAGAACTTTCCCAGAAAGTTCCGCCAGCATTGGACTATTTCAGCTCTTTGGTAAGAGACCCTCTGCTACCACTCTCAAAATAGTTTCCAGCTTCTGCAGAACTGTGCAGTCAGGCTTAAAAAACCACATCTCCTTCTTTACCCTGGGATCAGCGAGAACTACTCAGCAAGCCACCACCTGTTCTATTTTTTTGAATGATACTTCGATGCCTTGACGATGAATGTATAATAGATAGATTGAGCTGCAATCACAAGGTTCTATTACACTCACTACTACTGATCTCCACTCGCTCTTTGATTAAACAACAGTCTGATTGTGAATATTGATCATTCACAATCTTTTGTCTGGCTCTCTGTGTAGTTGCCAGAGAGTCCTGCTGATTCCATGTCTCAGTGTATGGATTTTGTATGCTGAGTTTCAGCATTAGTGTTTCTCGTCTCTTGGGAGTAATCTTTAGTCTTTTGATGCCTGGGCTGGTGCATGTCACATTACTGCTTGTAGAACGCCTCATCCTTGAGTATGAGCATAGTAGCATCCTTGGCCATGTTTCTTGTAAGGATTCAGAGCACTCTGGATCACTTGGTAAACTGGGCCCAAGCAAACAATAGAGTTGTAATATGGCTAAATGTAAATGAATACATCTAGAAACAAAGAAGGTAGGCCATACTTACAGAATGGGGGACTCTATCCTGGGAAGCAGTGATTCTGAAAAAGATGTGGCAGTCGTGGTGGATCATCAGCTGAACATGAGCTCCCGTTGTAGCCAAAAGATCTAATGAAATCATGAGATTCATAAACAGGGGAATCTCGAAGAGAAGTAGAGAGGTGATTTTACCTTTGTTTTTGGCATTGGGGTGACCACTGCTGGAATACTGTGCCCAGTTCTGGTATCCTCATTTAAGAAGGATGTTGATAGACTGGGTCACACCTCCCCCACTTACAAAGCTGCAAGAGGGTTAGTCATTGGCTGACCAGCAGGTAGCAGGTCAGACCTCGTTTCCTGGACAGGGCATCTGCCACCATATTTTATTTTCTGTTTATATAGGAAGAAACCTGTTTTGTCACCTGTGTCAGTTTATAGTCTCCAGGACATAATGCCAGAGAGCATCCCTAATTTCACCTACAGTGTTGTTACAAACATTTCACAGTAACATTAATGACCAGTGTGTTATCAGCTGTCAAATAATATATTACATGCTGCCTTTTATATAAATTTCATGATATCAGTGTGAGACAAGAGTTGGTGACAAGAGTTGCTAGCACAGCATAGTGTCAAATGGGCATCTGTGGCATGCTGACTTGCTTAGGGTCTTAGGCCTGGTCTACACTACGAGTTTAGGTCGACTTTAGCAGCATTAAATCGAATTAAGCCTGGACACATTCACACGACAAAGCCCTTTCTTTCGACTTAAGGGGCCCTTTAAACCAGTTTCTTTACTCCATCTCCGACGAGGGGATTAGCGATAAAATCTGTGAACAACACTCACAACCTCTTGCCCAGCCTCGCGAGCTTTCTACTGCTTTTGAATCTCAAAATCGTTCTGCAGCACTGACAGCTGCAGCAACCTGGTTTCACTGGAATAACACAAGGAAACTTGGCCCAACCAATGAGTGAGCTTCTTCACTTTTATTCTGTACATTTCCACACAAGTCACAATACAGAAAAGGTGTCCAAAAGTAATAGCAACTGGTAATTTCATTGTTTACAGGTTTCCCTTGCTTTCAGGTTAGCTCACATTTAAAACCTCTTTTTAGCAACACAGTGATCAAGATACTTTGTATAAATAGGAATTGCAAGAAAATTAGGGAAGAAAATACTTTGTCACTTTATTACAAAAAAAACCCCTTCCTCTTTCCCCCTGCCACCACCCTCCACTGCACCCTGATCCTTTGTTAAACACGTCACCTCACTGCTGTTTTGCCTGGATTCTGTCTGCCAGCTGGCACGTTCCTGGTGGTGCACAGCTCTGGGGCATTATGCAGTGGGGTCAGACAGCATAAAAGAGCCCTTTGTGATGTTTTTACAACTCCTGGAACAGATGTGGATTTGAATATAGGATATCTACAAATACTGGAACTCTGGATGCCCATGAAATGCTGGCTGAAGATGGATGGTTATGCCTTGGCTTTATTGTTTTATAAAGAGGAATAAAACTATTAGAAGACAATGGTCCAGATTCTGATTTTTTGTTACACTGGCATTAATCTGGAGTGACTTCACTGACTTCCATAGAGTAACTCCAGATTTATACAGATATAACTGAGATTGGAATTTGGCCCTCAGTCTTCGATTTATCACAGTCCCCTGACAGTGGTAAACGAACACCCACTATATTGCCTACTGGAAATCTCAGCCCTTTCACCATGACCACCACACCTCCCAATATCTCCTGGTTGTCTGATAAAACCCAAGTGTACTTTTGCATTACATCAGTTTTGTCCCTTTTTGGAAAAGAGTTATTCAATTCTCTGTGTTCCACTAATTACTATCCTCATTCTGGTTCATGTATCATCCCTCATTCCCTGGGTGGCAGGAGCATAAAAATCAACCCCCTAGGGTGGGTAGGCAGTTGAGAATGAATGCCATACATCCTTCTCCAGCAACCCTCTCAGGCTAACAGAAAGTTGCAGCACCAGGCTCCAGAGGGTGCAGCATCCAATACTCCTTGGCTAGAGGAAGGGATGCTGTGACCCCTTTGATGGTGGGGTAGAAACAACTGGGGTGAGGGGTTCTCAGATGTTTTCCCCTCCAAACCCCCCAAAAAGAAACAGCCTGTGATCAGTGAACTCTTAATGCTTAGAAACACAGATGTTCAAGAGTTTGGCAAAACATATCTAGTGTGTCAACTGGGTGCGTGGAGGGAGAAGACCACCTGAATGCCCTAATTCAAAGGAAACATCACCTGAGTAAACATTTTAATATGCAATATTTTAAACATTGAAATCAAGCATGAAAAGTGCAAATCTCCTCTTCAGGAACTTGTCATCTTCCAACACTATTCTCTACATCAATTACACTAAGATAAAATAAAAACATAGAACAATGCTAATCCTCTTCCTTTAAAATGTGGCACCAAAAGAAGCAGGATATTAAATGGGACAAACTTTGCAAGGCACAATGAAGAACTGTAATAATGATTAATAATATGTAGCACTTACATAGCACTTTTAATCAATAAACCTCAAAGTGCTTTACCAAAGTGGATAAGAGTTATTATCCCCATTTTACAGATGGGGAAACTGAGGCACAGAGAGGTTAAGTGACTTGCCCAACATCACATTGTGAATCAATGGCAAAGATGGGAATAAAACCTAGCTCTCCTTATTCCCAGTCAATTGCCGTATCTATTGGACCACAATGCCTCTCTATAAAGACATGCTGATTACTTATTATTTACTATAAATGCATTCTCAGTAATGTGGAATAACCCTGTAAACACGTGGTTATCTAGACTTAAATACACGAGGCACAAACATATAATTAACATGAGGATCAATTCCTATGTAAACTCTTTGGGGATACTGTAGCTAAACCATGGGTCCAATCCACAAGTCCTTGCTCAGACAAAACTTCCACTGAGCTACTTGTGGACAGTCTTATAAAATGTCAGCAATCCCTATAGACACGGCATTCTCATAAACATATAATAAGAGTTTCATGACTATTTAGATGAGTGTTTTTGTCCATATCAAACAATTTGTGCCCATGATGTGATATATTTAATGTGGTGCAAGGCAGAAAATTCATTGCATCTCTAAAGCTGTGCAGAAGCAAAGTATTAGATTTAAAAAAATACTAAACAAAACAAAAAACCTGTCATTTGCAGCAATAAGGTTTATTCACTGACTAAAAGGCAATACTGAAATTCCATAGATAGTTGGAAAGTTTGCCCAGTGGGTATGGAAGCCCAGCCCTCAAAATTCACCTCTTACCAGGCTGAAGATTTCCCATTGTTAAGTCAGGAAAGTGTTACAATCAGGTGCCTCATATGAACAAGTTTTCTGGTGGTCTGTTTACAGTCACTAATATAAGCTGGAGAACATTAGTGCACACTCCATCTCGGACCAAGCAGCCAAAGATAGCTCTCCACCTTGCTGAGCTTCAGGGAGTGATTTGCTACGAGTTGTATTACAATGACAAACATTTGCAAGTTATAGCCTCCTTTAGGAAGGTACTTTAACCTCTGGCTATTCAATTTTCCATCAGAAGAGGGGGTAATGCAGAATGCTCAACTCCTGGTGGTGGAAGATGTCACTTGAGTGCCAACATTTACAAGGGAGAATTCAAGAGCTGTGGGGTTGGGAGAGAACTAGGTGCAAAACCTCCTCAGCCAGAAGAGGTTTCCCTATTACCAGGGAAAGTAGAAAAGAAAATACGAGGATCTTGGAAGACCTCCCCAGAAAGGAGGGTGAGACAAAGACTTACTTGGAGCTGTAGGTATTTAACTGAGGTATTTAAAGTGAGGCTCAAAGACATTTCCCTGTGGCATCTCTGGGATGGGGAGTCTCTGAAGAAAGGTCACTTCCCCCTGCAGCGTTGGTGCATGGCATGTGTGTTTCTCTGCACATTTAGGACCCAGTTCTGTGAAGTCTTGATATAGCTCAGATAGAAAAACAATGATTAGACAGACTTCAGTGGGAGTTCAGAGTACTCAGCACCCTGCAGGAGCTGCTCAACATTTTGCAGGCTCAGCCTCTCCCTTCCTTTCCCCCAACACTGTTAAGTGATTTAAGGAGTCAGCAGTATGGCAGGGAACCATTCTGCAGAATGGATACTAGAGGTCCTTATAGGTCTTTTCCAGCTCTCTATGATTCTGTGAGCTGCAGGATGAGCAGAGACAGGCCTTTCATCGTACTGAGAAGCTTTTGAGAAAGGAAATGATTTGGGGGGAAGAAGAAAGTTGGGGCAGTTGGCACATCCTGCAAAACCTTCA